CAATCTTGCGATAGTGTTTATTTATAGCAGCGCGTGCTCGCGAATTTGATATGGTACTTTATCCCATTTCATTTCCATATCGACACCTATATACGGGTTTATTGTGTATGAATGCGTAAAGTGCGAAAATTCGTGCATCCGCAATCCGATTTCAATAAGTGTGTATGTGGATATATAGACAGGTGGCTGCTTATATACATCAGGTAAGCCCTTTTTCAATTTTTGGTTGCTTATAATTTACTTTTCTTAGGGATACGTGTCCATGCGCGCATAATTTGCAGTTTAATGAAAAGCGTGACATTTTATTGTATTTATTCAGCGATTATTTTATATGGGCGTTTATAAGTAATAAGCTGACAGCAGAAAACATAGTCTACATCAGAGTTGGACCGTAAGTATCAAAATTATTTTGTAATAAAAAGCCTACATTGATATCTTTTTTAGCCGATATCAAACCTCAATGGAGGATTGCCTTCATCATCATCATGGTTAAACGGTCGCAAGCGCCGTAGCTTTATTATTATAATACCTATATAATATCTTAGATTTATTGATGGGAAGTAGGTAGAGGATAATGCCGTTGCGATAAATAAGATAACATTGTGAATATTATGTATTACACCAACTTTAGCTATATCTATATTAAGAAAAGGCTTATCATATAACCTTCATATCAATTACAGCTATTAAGAAAAGTTTCATATGGGACTAAATCAATTTTTCTTGGATCAAAGTTTATGTGCGGATAATATGTGATAAGGCAAGCTTCTTAAATCAAATTGATACACTTGAGGCAGCACCTTCATAATACGTGTAAGCATACGATCATTTATTATTTATCAAAATGTTCCCATTCGAACAGGGTTTCAGTCGGTCAAGCTGCGTATAAAACAGGAAACCCTCATTAAAAATAGCTACACAAGGTTTTGATGATTTGGGAAAGCGGATTGCTGCCCTTCCTATCTACCGCCAATTTCGTTTCCTACTGATTTAGAATTTTACCGGATGTTAGTTTCCTGTTAACGACCGGACGCTGTTTCCTGCTGATTAGAATTTACCGGATGCTGCTTCCTGCCGATGACCGGATGCTGCTTCCGTTATTGCATACCTACCCATATAAATATAGATGTAGAGTGATATACGTTTTCAGTTCAGAAGATGACGAATATACGATTATTTCGAGGTAAAGAAGCAGTTAAGGAGATAAAGCGTTTAAAGATAGATGATGTTTTTCTCTATCAGTGGTACATCGATCAGGGCGTCTACTGCTACATTAGGTACCTGAATTCGAAACCTGCAGCATTTGCGCTAATATCAAGAATGAACTTCGATCCTAGTAGTTAAACAAGGAGAGTTCTGGCACAATGTAAATCTCCATAAGCGCAACGTATTTCTTATGGGAGATTTCAGTGACAAAAACTCACTTTTTGGATCGGTCTTGATTGCGGTGTTTTTTTCGAGGTTTGAGGGGTTGTATATGTGTGTAGGGGTAGTAGATGTGTTTTAGGGGGGTTGTAGATAAGGGGTAGTAGGTAAAAACAAATTTCTAATTTTAGAATCATGCTTAGTAACACAAGCGGCGTACTTCATAAAATGTATATTTAAAACTTAGTAGTAGTCGTTTGCGGTTGAGATTTATTTTTAGATGTTATCTTAGTAACATAGCGTTAGAAATAAAACGTTTTGCGGTTCTGTTGATAAGACAAACACATGTGTTTGTGGTTTACTATAATCCTTCAATGGTTGTAGTGTTATCGATGTAGCACAATATTTGTTGCAAATTTTCGATACAGATTTCGAGATTGTGGTCTACAGATGGAAAAATTTACAATGTTGCTGAAGCAAATATTTACAACATTGAGGTTTTACAACAGAAAAATAAAAAACGTTATCAAAATGAAATAGGTATAAATATGCAACGTAGTTTAGTCAATATCAATGGTCTTTTCTTATATTGACACTCTCCTACTACTACTTACTTAATAGGAAAGTAAAATGATTAGATAACAAAACAAAACGACCCTATACCTATCTAAAATTACGAAACAGGCAATGTGAACAACTTTTAAAATAAACTTTCCTGAAAAATTCACCATCACTATAATAACAACCTTAATTACAGTAAAAAAAATTCTATAACCCCGAGACAAAATCAACGACGTTTCCTATAAAATGGAAAGCCTAATTCGTACATGGGGTTTATCTACCAGCGAAGAGCATTTATCTCAATTGAGCGAGAAGTACAGCATTGACTTTGGTGAGCTACTAGTGTGTTTCAACTTCATTCATTACTTGAGTCTTTCGCATTGCGACGACTGGACTTACAAGCGGCAATCTGATGCAAGACGTGAGACAGCGAGTAGCAGTTCGTGTTGAAGATACTGATACTTTATACAAATTATGTGTTAAAAATTTGTTAACCAGACCTTCTGATGGGACTGCTTACCAGCCGTTGTCAAAAGTGAGTTGGAGTGGAAACAGAAACAACTAGCTGACATCGACCTGGTAAGGTTTGAGCAGGAAACGGATGAGCAATTAGCTTGCCTCATCAATGCGATATCCAGTGATATAAGTTTAAGTCAGGCACTTGGACAGCTTTTAATTAATTGTTTAAACGAAGTTAAGGACGACGCAGGAGTTGACTTATCTAATAGTAGTTATTTTAAAGATGTTAGTTATAGTTACCTAGTATTATATGAAGAAATTTGTAGTAGTAATTTAAGACTCTCAGAAACTTGTAGAAATAGGTATAGTAGGTATAGGGAATTAGTTAAGAATTGGTTATGTATATACAATAAACAGTTTTAGTGTTACCTATCTTTTGTAAAAAATATATTCATATTAAAAGAAGCGCAGCGTGTGTGTGTGACGCCCCACTCCTACTAGAGGCTCTTAACTCGTACGAAATGCGCTCGCACTTCCCCAGTTAAGCGCCGGCGGCGGGTCCGTCATAGGTATACGTCAAGTTCTCATAAAGCCACAACAATCGTATGACGTACATCAAGGAGGAGCGTAGGACCTCTCCTTAACGGTCAGGTTAGAGAAGTAGAGGATCTCCCAGGTAGGTGACATACATCAAAGGAAAAATTCCCACGGTCTAGGGCCACCCACGTGGGCGGCATACATCAAAGGAAAAAAAGTTCCCACGCTCTAGGACCACGCCCACACAGGCGGCATATATCAAAGGAAAAAGTTCCCACGCTCTAGGACCGCGCCCACACAGGCGACATATATCAAAGGAAAAAGTTCCCACGGTCTAGGGCCACAGTCTCCTTAAACGGCCAGATAGAGAAGTAGGGGACCGTCCAGGTAGTTAACAGAATATCAAAGGAAAAAATTCCCCCGGTCTAGGGCCACCCACGTAGGAGGAATATCACAAAGGAAAAAGTTCCCACGCTCTAGGACCACGCCCACACAGGCTGCATATATCAAAGGAAAAAGTTCCCACGATCTAGGGCCACACCCTCGAAGGCGGCATACATCAAAGGAAAAAAAGTTCCCACGCTCCACAAAATTTTCCCACGGTCAAGTGCCGCAATACCTACTCTCGCTCCAACATGTTTTCTATTTTGGAAGGTAAACGCATTTTACCCTTGGCGGGTGTGTTCTATTGTGGAACGTGGTTTCCAATTGATATGGAAACGTTACGAAAAATGAAAGGGATATTACTCCAGAGAGATTAATAATTTAATAACGCATTAATAATATAATAGTAAAATGTAATTGTATAAAACAGATAATGATTTATAAAATAGACAATTATATAAGCCAAGGCTAGTAAAGAAACTTTCGTTTCCTTTATTAACAGGTGCTTGCCACATAATATAAGTAGTATTTGATTGAATTTCGTGCAGTTCGTAGGTTCCGTATTAATTAGTTAATAGTCCAACTGATGGTTCACAATCACATCGTATATATTTAATTGACGTTATCA